CCGGGCCCCGGGGGGAGTCGGCCGGGCTGCTGCTGCTCCTGCTGCAGGTGCTGCCGCCCGGGGCCGCCTCAGGCCCGGGGCGCCGGGGCACTCGAGGCGCCGGCGGCGTCTGCTGGCCCGGCGCTGGCCCGGCCTTTCCCCGGGACGCACGGCTGCTGCTGCTTCTGCCGCCCCTACCGCCACCGTCGCCTCCGGCGAGCTCTGCAGCCGCAGCCTCCGCCTCCCGGATGGTAATCAGCGCCCCGCGCGGGCGCCGCGGGCGGGCGGGAGGTGGGGGCGACGAGGGGGAAAGGGTGGGTAGTTCCCGGGGCGCTCGCCCCCCCCCGCGACCCCCGCCGACGACCGCGGCCCTGGGCAGCCGCCAGAGCGCGCCTCTGGGCGCCTGGGTGCGCACCGGGCGCGGGCTCCGCTGCGCACCCTCCCCGCCCCGCTCGCGGTGTGCCCGCCAGCGCTCAGGCCGCGGGGGAATCCCTGCATCTCCCCGCCCCGCGCCCCGGGAGGGGAGGGGACAGCGCCGGCGCCCGCGGACCCGCTTTCTCCGAGGGAGCACCCAAGAAGCGACCGTGCACTAAGCCGCCGCGACTCCGTGCTGTGCTGCGCTGCGCTCCTGGTGCCGTCGGGTCGCGCCGAGCGGAGCGGCCCCGCTGCCTTGTCCCGACAGGATCTCGGGCAGTGAGGGCGCCCACCAACTGCACGCCCTTATGTTCCCTGCACAGGAAGTTCTGCCCCGCAGCGGGCTGAACCTGAAGGAGGAGCCGCTGCTGCCCTCGAGCCTGGGCTCGGTGCGCTCCTGGATGCAAAGCACCGGCATTCTGGACTCCAGCACCGCCGCGCAGAGGTAAGCGCCCGACCCGACCCAGCACCCTGTTTGGACCGCTCCGTGTCGCCCTAGCTCAGCAGGCTTAGCTACTGAGAGGGGTGGAGAGAGTCTTAACTCTTGGCCGTCCCGTCGATGTCTCCTGTTCACCCTGTCCCGAGGTGTACTTCCTCCTAAGGATATGGGGCGGGCCGGGGCGTGGCTTCTGTTGCCTCTCAGGCGGTCTGGGCTCTGATTTCTGATGGTTGCTCAGGATGATCCATGACTCCGCACGGCATCGCCACCGCCTGCAGATCCTGAGCCATGAACCACAGTCACCAGTGATCTAGCAGTGTCCATTCCCTTCTTCCTGGGGCGGTCCCTCCCACTCTGCTTGTCCGATTCCGTGGCTATCTAAAAACAAAAGCAAGAAAGCCTGCCCCCCTCCTTTTTTTTTTTTTCCCCCTTTCATGCCTCTAAGAGTTAGGAGATGGGGATGAGCAAGGCCAGAGATGTGGCTGGGGCTGAAAAGTGGCGAAGAACTGGTGGGCAGTTAGCCCGTGGGAATTGATTAGAGTTATAAATGGGGCCTGACTCCGCTTGAGTAAGGGCTTTGGTGGGTTCTAAGGAAGGCAGGAAGTCCTTTCGGAACTAGTACTATCTCCTCTGGCTCCTGAGTCCAGGCAGGAGATCTAGGTAATGGGTGGACTACCACATTAGGATGAGAACTTTAAAGGTTCATTAATCCAGTCACTACAGCACCTGAAACTTGGGCTTTGTAACACTTAGCTTCCCATGGGAGCACAGGCTGGAGATTAAATATTGTCAATCCAGGGCTTAACACTCAGAAGGGACTGTATGCAGACTACTAGGGCAGGGTGGGCATTGGACCTTCCTGAAATTAAAGCAGCTGCTATTCAGCAGCTGAAGGAAGTCTGATGGGGTTGCCAAAGCAGACCAGGCCTGGTACAGCAGCCCCACTCACATACTCAGACCTGTCCAGGTGATATCACTTGTAATACACCCCAACCTTACACAATAAGAGACACACAGGTGTTTTGTAGACCAACTGAAACAGTGTTTTTGCACACCTGTCTTCACTGTGTTGGGGGAGAATGCTAGACTTTGTTGGGTGACCTCTCTGGGACAAAGAAGGGTATTAAAGATGAACCCAGTTCTGTAAGTTTTAGGCATGACCTAACCATATTCTAGAAAAACTAAAATTTAGAAAACCAAGTTCCACCTGTTTAACACAACTGCTATTGGCATTTTAGTATATATCCTTCCTATCATTCTTCCCTTTAACATTTTTTCTCGTATTATGCTTATAACTCTGTATGCCTCCTTTTCTGTTAGCTTTGGCATTTTTCTTTAACTCGAGATGGTTGTGGGAAGTTACAGTGGAGTGTGTAAGTTCGAAGTTCCCATTTCTTTCTGACTTTCCTCTACACCTGCTTAGGGCCAGCAGGTTAGATAAGGCGGAAGCAGGACTGAACGAGACGGTGTTCTGAAGTTTGGGAAGAGGCAGAAAATCTGGGGTGAGGCTCTCAGCATCAGGGTTCAGTCACCAACAGAAACATCTGCCCAGGGAGAGGTTCTTGAGTGAGCTTGAACTGTCCATTCTGAGTCTCCAGGGTCACATCACTGAATGAAGCTCATGGGCTTTTGCAGTTAGAAAGCAGCTTTCTTCTAAAAAGTACATGGGCTTGCTTGCCCCCAAGTCTGGAAACCCCAGTCCTAGGATATAGAGAGTCCTCAAACATTTTGGTGATTTTTTCCCACTTCTGGAGAGGGAAACCAATTCCTGCTCCTCATCTTTCCTCACTTTGTCATTTCTCTTGTTTGTATGTTGTCCCTCAACCGGTCCTCTACTCAAGTCTTCCCTTCCCAAACCAGCACGAAGGAATACCCATCTCCTGTACTCCCCTTCCTCTTCATCCTTTGCCTGGTTTCACTGTCCTGCAAGGCTGCTTGGAGTGAAGGGCTGCTGTTTATGCCTTCCTCACCTTTACCCCACAGCCACCTGGTTTTCAAAGCTTAGATGTCCCACTCTCTATTCCTAATCTCAATTTCAATACCCCAGACACCACAATGAAACTTCTGTGTCCTTGGTCCCTTTTCTCACTGGCTTGAAGGATAATTCAGACTCCTGGCTCTGTACTGTAACTCACCACTTCCCCCAAGCTATCGTCTATGCGTTACAAACCAAAGCAATATTTTCAAGGTATTTTGTTTTTGATAAGGGGTCTCATTGTGTAGCCCAGGCTGGTCTTTAAACTCATGATCATCCTACCTCAGCCTCCCAAAGGCTGGGATTACAAGTATATACCTCCATACCTGACTTTAAAGTACTTTTCTCTGATAATGTCTGTGCCCTGATTAAAAAAAAAACAGTAAAATGACCCGCCCCACCACAGCACTTACTCTTTCTGTGTCCTCCTACCCTGCCCAGCAGAACTGTTCTTAGACCTGACTAAAAATGCTTACTTTAAGCCAGAAGGGGCTGTTGTCAACAGGTCCCCACTTCCTGGGTAGTCAGCGTTCCTTCCTTCCCAGCTTCTGTATGATAGTGGCATACCATGTTGGAGAATTTGCAAGACTGCCAGTAAGACCTGCTTTCTCTTAAAACAGTGCCCACTGTCCTCAGCACCACAAACCCACTGAATAAAGCATTAGTACCCTTGAAGACCCCAGCTCCACCTCAAAATGTTTTCTATTTGTACTCTGCCAAATGAGTGCTTCAGAAGACAGCAAAGTACATTTTAGGTAGCTCCAAAAGCCCTTTCCTCGGGGCTCTTCTCTTCACCTCGGTGTGCTCCAGGAACCACTCTACATCCTTCAGCTGCCTCTCCCCAATTTTACAACTTGGACTTTATAAAAATGCCAAGGTTTGGGGCTGGAGAGATGGCTCAGTGGTTAAGAGCACTGACTGCTCTTGCAGAGGACCCGGGCTCAATTCCCAGCACCCACATGGCAGCTACAAACCGTCCTTAACTCCAGTTCCAGGGGAATCCGAAGCCCTCTTCTGACCTCCACGGCATTGCACAACATGGGTGCACGCACATACGTGCAGGCAACACACTCGTACACATAAAATAAAAATAATAAATAAAATACTTTTTAAAATGCCAAGGTTTTACAGAACGTAGGCAGGGAGGAAAAGGCCCGGAAGGTTTTCTAAGGTCAGTGAGGGAGGCTCTGCCAGCAGAAGGAAAACCCTGGGCCTAGGAAGTAGGGAAAGAAGAGGAACTGCATACCCGCCCAGAGGACGGGAAGGAAAGCTGGTGAGAAGGTCTCCTCTCCCTGTGCTAGGGCCTTCCAACCAAGGAAGTCTACTCAAGGACCCTGTCATTGGTAAAACTGTCTCTGCCCCGAACCATTAGAAATTTATCTCTGAGACCCTCAGACCAAGCACCAGCCCACTTCTCAGACTCTTCTGTAGACAAGTTTTCCTGCTTGTAGGTTCAGTGTATGGTTAGCTGTTTTCTCCTGATGTGCTTCCCTGGCTGAGAGTACTTCTGGAGGGCCTAAGCCAGCCGTACCCCTTCAGGAAATCCCTAGAGGACCCAGGCCTGCCCTCTTCCACAAGCCAGTCCCCACACACACGCAAGACCTAGGAGAAGGAAGCCAGTTGGGGCTGCTTTTCCTGTAAGCAGCCGCAGGCCAGCCTCCCTGCTAGGAAATGCTTTTGTTCGCTTTAATAATTAATAGCTGCTCCTCAGCCTAGAACCAGGCTTGCAGGCAGGCCTGTTGGGTGGGTGGTTTGAGGGTAGGCAGAAGAGAAATGGGATCGGTAGCCTGTAGGTGGGTCCGAGGACCAGGAGGAGAGTGGTAGAGCATACTAGTGAGTTTTCTTCCCCTCCCACCATTCAGAACCAGGGCACTAAGTTGATTTCCTAGGGCTGGTGCTGGGGCAGTGGGAAGGAGAGATCTGGAGCCTTCACTGCCCCAAACTACCTCTCCTACAGGTTTGTCCACACAGGTTCTAGCTGCCTAGCTACCAGGCCTTTCCTGGAACCATTGAGATGAGTGTGTCATTGCTTTTATTGTCTTTGATCTGCAACATTGCCCGGTTCTGGGCATGTTGGGGCCTGGGCAGGACTAGGGCCGACATCTTGGCTTGAAGGAAGCCCAGCATGACGATCACTATCAGTCCCAGGGGCATAGGAATGCCTGTTGGGGAGCATGGGCACCGATGAAATGCTTAAAGGATGTAGAAGAAAGGAGCAGGGACCTGTGATGCCGTGGAAGGGATGGGAATTAAAAGGGGTGGATTCCGCAGAGAAGAAATTTAGGCAAACTTAAACCAGGGGTAAGATGTGGAAGGCATGTTTTTTGTTCTCTTCACCTTCTGGTGGAGGTAGAGGGTGGTCAGCAGAGCCTCCTTCCATTGTTGATGACTAGTTTGTGTCCATTATCCCAGCATCCCAGGCTTGAAGATAAATCAGGCTCAAGCCAAAATGCTGCTCAGAACCTTGGGTTGTCAAGGTGAGCAAGAATTTGGTGAAGAAAACAGAAGGCAGAAGTTCCCAGGGGGACATTTTGGTCACTTGACTTGTCCTTGGGGGATGGGGATGGTTATTGTCTAATTGCTCATATTTATAGTAAGCATGTGATGAAATATCAAAGAGCCATTAGTGTCTTGTGAATAGAGAAGGGAGACTGAGACAGGGGCTTTGTCTGCAAGAGAACTTTGGCAGAGTCATAGATGCCAGGAGACCCCTGGAACATCCTGCTTAGCTTTACAAGGGAGCATCTCCAGGGACCTGCTGAGTGGTCTCAGAGATAGCAGCCAGGCACTCTGTTGCCTTACCATGTCCCACTAGCATTCCTATGTGCTCTGGAGTATAGGTCACCTTAGTAGTCCAGGCTACAAAGGTCATGTTGTCCTTGTTGTCCATTTGACCTTAGAATCCCAACACAGTGCTTAGTAAGCCTGGGCATATCCAAGCTTGCTACGAGGCTGGCCTCTTATGTCCAAAGAATATCTGTGCAAACTAAATCTTTTCTGGTGTCACAGAATGTCTCCTTTAACTTTGGTC